TAGATCATTTTGTGTTAATAATATGGGATCTTGCTATAGACAAATATATTATATATATATATATTATTCAGATGGGTGTGTAGTTTCAATGGTCTAAGACTTTCGTTTTATGTTAAATAATAGAAAAAAGTATTATACTTGTGAAGAATGCAAATGTGCCCTTAAAACTTCAGAGAAAATGAGAAATTCGATATGTAGTTACTGACATTAAAGGCACCTATAAATTATAACTCAGCTTTAAACTTAGATGTAACTCACCACGACGTACGCTAATACCGATGACTACTCTTGGAATATGAAATGCTTCATTTAAACTCCTCCCTGACAGCTCTGTGACATCAATTTAATCTACGGCAGTGTAAATTTGTGCTTCTGCCATATCTGTTTCTCACGGTACACATCCAAACAGCTCTTTGCTGTCCTGATGTCAGAGATAGGGAAAGACTTGTGTGATTGTAACAGTTATTTAAGAAATTAAATAGAATTTTATTTTAATATGAATGGAAAACTAAGCACATGCTTAAAGTGTTATATATGGTCTTTCAAATATCCTTTCCGTTTTAATAATGTTCCTTTAGTTTGTGTCATAAAACTTCTATAATTTAATTATAAAATTATAATTTATATTCTTTGGAAAAATTTTAAATACCTTTCTGTTTCTATTTTTAGTTCTCTTATAAAGTATAAATTATAAAAGTTTTTGCATGAAACTAATATTTTAATATGCTAAATAATATTTTTAATAATAGAAGCATTTACAGCTTAGTTTTTTGCATTTTCGCGTCTCATTATGTTGCATTATGTTACGCTATTCTCATGTGTAGCGTCTGCATTTCTTGGCAAATGTTGTCATTCAAGAAAAAATGGATTTGCCAATGCAGCCTAGCAAACTGCCAATTCTCAGAAGTGTCGCCATTTAAATCTGCATGCTACCTTCAAAATCAAAACTATGCTTTACTTAATAATTGAGCATCAAAAAATATATCTGTAGAGCTACTGAATTCGTAGCAGGAAAGATGAAAATTCAGCTGTGCTCTTGCTGGAATTCGAACTCCGAACTTCCCGATAGCCAGACAGACGAGCTACCACTTATAATTCCTTATATTCTCCGAGCCCACCAGCGGCCGAGCGGTAAAGACGCTAAACACTGGTAGTTCGGTCCGAGGTTGCAATCCCGCGAACGGGCTGGCTGTAGAGGCGTTTTCGTGGTTTTCTCCATGTGTAACGTGTATAAGAGCCAGTTTCCCTTAGAAAGTCCTCTACGAAGGCATCCCTCCGTTTAGGCAGATAGCCCTCGTGGGCTTGCCATTATTAACCGCGGGAAGGCGCGTGGGTGTATCATAAAAAACCCTACATAAGGGGAATATTCCTAACTTGGAACTGAAATTCTGTGCTGCTTTCAGGCTGAGTTTCTAGTTGGGTTGACTTTCAGAACCGCCTTTTTCTTTGCTGTGTGTTCAGAAAAAGATTTATCGCTGTTTTGTTGACTGGGGTATGACACACCTCACGCGCCTGTCCGTGTAAGGTTTTTCTGCTGAATATTTAGTTTCAGAATTTTTTCTAGAGTGAAACAGTAAATATTTCTACTCGCAATGATTTTAAAGTACTTGACATTAAATTCTTAAAATTTCTGACTGCATTATGGTAAAGAATGAGTCCCTATGAACTGGAGATCAACTCAGCGAGATTTATTAGAAAATTTGAAAGCGATGAGATTGCATTTCGGAAACTGAAGATGAAATAAGAATTTCTACAATGTTTGGTTTCGAAAAATAAAACATTATTCCTGATGTTCCTAAAAAGAAACGTTCTTATGGCTTTTATAACCTATATAACGATCAGACTATGATGATACGATTGGAGAAATAAAATTGGAATATATGTTTTAATAATATGATAAGAGCATGGGATGGGGGGGGGGAAATGGAGCAATTAGTCATTGCCTATACGAGAAGGTGGCCAATGGTAATTTGCTTTCCGGCCGAATGGGACGATAATAATGCTTGAATATATTACATTCAACTGCGAATCCCCACAAGAAGCAGAATCTGTTTTTGAAGGACTTATTATTACACTTAATGAAAAAAAGTATTGAACAAGAGACAAGAGGAAGACTTGGACGTACTGCATCAAACAAAGCAGAAGTTTCGATGAAGAATTAAAACGAATACAGAAAGGAGAACACGAGTATGAAGAGGGTTAAATTTTTGCCTCGCGCAGGAAGAAAACTGAATGCATGTGTAAAATGTGAAAACATCGTGCCAAGAACACATGAATGTAGTGCGTTTCAAAGGGAAGAAATAAAAAAGCTGGTGTATTAGAGATGCATGAATCTTAGAGGCATTGTTTATGATTGGCAGAGGATCTTAATTGAACTCTAATTATTTCGGAAATTCATTTTTGAAACCCATTAGATGCACTTTTAAACGATTTTATTGTATTTTAATAGTGGGGTATGTGATAGCCCACAACGCCCCGTTCTGTCCTGGGGGGGGTGCGCCTTCCGCCGGGTTAAATAATCCAATCCAATCTAATCCTTATATTCTCCCAAGCACAAAGAACGAAGGTGAGAGACCCAGTCATCCAAATCCAAATGGTGGTGGACCACGTCACCAATTATTTCACCGTTTGTCAATCCACCACATCTTTTGTCGAGCACCAGTTTAGAGCTATTATGTTTTCCCGAATTACGAAACATGAAAAATCAAATATTCCATAACTCGGATATGAACTCCGAGATTTCCAATTGCCAGTTGTATGTAAAATCAGTTACGTAGTGAGAGTACCCATTATAGAAAGCAGTAATTCCTCACATGCTTTTTAACAGTTGGTACCTTTAGTTTCTAACACTAACTTTGATATATATATATATATGTAGGTGGATCCACAAAAAGATTAAAAGCATCAGCATTTTAAAATTATTGTGGAATTAATACTTTATCCTCAGAGTGTAGGCAGATGGCATTAGTTATCTAGCAAAGATTATGCGGCTAGGTAAAGTAAGTTTTCGGATGCGTAACAGCGATTGAAATGGCAAGACATTTAGAAAAGTGGTCTCGCTTGGAGGTGAGCCGTGATTCCTTGTCCTGATCGAGTATCTGGATAGTGACAATATCATTACTGCCGATCATTATTGTGCCACTTAAGGCAATGTTACGTGAAGCCATCCGAATCAAGCGCCCTAGCTTGTTGAGTGATGGTGTCATCCTCCTGCATGGCAATGCCCGGCCTCATACTGCTCGCCAAACTCAAGAACTGTTGCAAAAGTTGGGAAAGGTGGGAAATCTGGAGTCACCCTCAATATAGCCCAGGTTCAGCACCCAGAAACCGTTTTCTTTTTCCGAAATTGAAGGAACATTTATCTGGAATGAAATTCTCTTCAGACAGTGATATGAAAACAGCTATCGAGAACTGGCTCAATGGGTAGGGACATGATTTCTACAAAGTGACAATATTTCGACAATATTTCTTAAAATATGCTTGCTTGTATAGGCATAAAATTAGTTAAAAGTATTTTGTCCCTACTCTCTTGTCGTGTCTAAATGTTCGTAAGTGAAACCGAGCGTACCACATTCATCGTTATAGTAAATCTTTCAGTTTTTTTATGTTAAGTGCCTCCTGTTATTTATTATATTATAGAGTCTTCTTGTGTGTTTTGGGAGCATAAACTATAGTTCCTACTGAAGGACGAAGTAGCGAATTCTCGCTAGGTCTTGGAAGAACAGATGACTGCAGACAAAGGTTATAACAACCTTTTTATTTTAACTAAACGGAATACAAAATGCACTCAATCGACGCTCCCAATTTAACCACCACTTGTGGCTAAGTAACTTGAACACAAAATAATATATACAGTCACAATAAATTAAAATTTTAGCTTCACGACTGGTTCCTACTCAATCAAAACTGCTTTATCGGCTCTACACAGCAAATCCGATCCTAGACTATCAATATGATTTAAAGTAAGTGGCTAGCACCAAATATTCAACTACAGAGTTACTTTCAAACACGAGGCATAAATTCAGAACTAACTCTTCTACCGCGAACTCTTAAAATCTCCTATTTAAATACTGTTTCCGAACTCATTTAGATTTGAATATGCTTCATTTAAATTTACATTCCGGCAGGAAATTGAAATCAGAAGGGAAAGGACAGTTTCTTAAAATAAAATAATTGGTTAGAACAAAGTAAGGTCTTTATAATATGATTCAAAGCCAATTACTTCTCGCACTGATGATTTGAACCATTGTATTGCACTCAAAATTTCTAGTCACATAAAGAAAAAATGCTGAAGAGCTCATGAGCGTTTTAGCTAAATACTCATCATTTTCTTAAGAACGTACTTATTTTTCTTTAAAAGCTTCAAAACCATAGGTCAACCCCTATGCTCAAATAAGTAAACTAAATTAATACTTCATCTAAACAATGTTTTCGTAGAATTATTTGTTGGAGTAAAATGCATACATTTAATAAAGTTTCTGTGCAGTCTTTATTACTTAGTATCCACGAAAATTTGCTTTATTAACATCGATGTATGCTAAGTGGTTACTATCACAGATACTATTAAATTATAATCGGGAATCGTCCAGAGAAGGATAAGCAGATTTTTTTTCTTTTAAGTTATAATCAACTTACATTGTCATGGTTGATTTGTTATTTTGAACCCTGTAATAGTCTGCAGATGCCTTTAGTCAGGTTTATGTATTCCATTGACTTTCCTGTAAATGTTTATGTATTAATAAATACTTCTCAAACTGAATGTTTAAGTATTAGTACATATTTCTCAATCTGTGTAATACACATGTAAAAAATGTAAACATACTTAATACATAGTAGTATATAATTACTATATGTTCATGTTAAATTTAAAGCATGAATTTTCACATTGAATTTTTTCTAAAATATAGCAAATAAAATAAAATATGTTGCTTTTTTGTTTGTTTGTTTCTTAAAACGTGTCTGACATGGATTATTTAATTTTCATCTGGGCTGCATATTAGAATGTAACTCAACTCTCAGGATAGCACAGGGATCACTGGAGCTCGTAAAACAGCTTTCTACAGGAAGCTGCCTTCTACACCTGGAGGCACCTCCTTTCTATAGAGTGCTTTTTAAAGTTGTGGACCTGTACCCTTTTCGTGCATTACCAACCGCAAGTGAGAACTGCAGCCTTCGAAAGATAATTTTCGGACCTCTTTCAGGAGTGCCTACTCAAAATTCTTGGTGAGAAACAATTAGATGCTTTTGATTTTTCTAATATGTGCAACAAATTGGAACACCTTTATATAAACCTAAGTGAATAATTTGAGAAAATAACGCTTCGGAGTTTTCCAGTTAATGGATATCCATTATCCTTCTGTATGGTGTCCAATTATGAGGGTAAGTCAAAAATTATCCGCACTTTCATTGCGAGCTGATCTTTAATTTGTCACACTGCCTTCTGCGCATGCATGCCTAAAGTTAGTACTACTGTGGTCACGTGATCAAATTTAATTTTGATCTCATTATTTACATTACTTTTATAACATCACGTTTCCGCTACCAGTGCGTATGACGGAGAATCAAAGAGCGCAGGTCCTACTTTTCGTCTCGACGCTGAGGGGATGAAATTCATGAGAAGCTGTCACCGCAATGCAGGGACAGTACCCTCTAGCGTATTGTATATCAAATATGTATTAATGGAAGAGGGGTTTGAGAGTGATCGGGCAAGTGTGATGCACAACGAGAGAGCACGACACGATCAGCCTTCAGCACTGATGAGAACATTTAGGAAGCTCGACACATGGTTTTAGCGATGACGCAATTTATCATCAATGAGGTTCCATGATTTCTAAGGAACAGTCAGGCTTTACCTATTAAATTACGACACAGTTACAAAACCGTTAAAACCACTAAAGATTTGGGTTTCGATGTTCTGGAACACGATAAGTACGGCTTAAAACTTGCTACTTCTCTGAATATCATCACACTGTATTCTTCAGAGATGCTTTACAATATCAAAATGTTTCTATTGACAAAAAAGTATGAGAAGGCGGTGCATGAATAGTAACGTGACCAATTGAAAGAATGCACAAGCTTGTGGATCGTTTTACCAATTGCATCGTAAAGAATGTAGACTATACAGAAAAATAATTTGCTTGTTCAACCTCTACATTTGAGAAATAAATTGAAAAGTATAAGAGTATGGATAATTTTTTACTTTCCCTCATACTGAGCTATTTCCCTTGTACATAATTAATATTGCAGTATGATTGCTTATGAGAGAAGTTTTTAATATCATGAAACGTTTATTAAGCAAACATACATATGTATTGCTTGTAATACACACGTTTAAAAATCAAAATTAAAAGAAAATAAGTAATAGCAATTCTAATTTTATTAGCTTTGAATTTCTAAGCTTTATATAATGGAAAAGCAAAGTCTTATATTAAGCATACCTGTCATGAATAGACAGAGAAAGGAACATTGCCGACATGAAGTTATAACAAACTAAGCAAGTAATAAACAATGAAACCTTATGTGTCCTTTTATTATATTTAACGTGGGAATAGGAAACACTAAAAGATTCAGATGGTCAAGAAGTGCTATGCAGTTAAGTCTGGTTTCAGAGGTTTTTCTAACTGTGGATTCCTTGATAAGAAATTAGTCGGCGTTGGGTTGCGAAGTTGGCGTCAGAAATTCTAGATAAGGAAAAAAAAGGAATAAAGGTCGCTTTTCACTTTCTTGTACGTGTAATAGGATAGTGAAAATGTTTTCACCTTCCTTAATGAGAATCTGACCGTGATAGGATACTGGTTAATACATTGTTTAGTCGCCGCAGTAACCCAGGCTCTTATTAAAGAACGGAAAGCAGTTCAGTGTCTGTGCAACACCGATAGCAAAAAAGGACCTTTAATTCTTTACCTCTTATCTATGTAGTATTTTCGACTCCTGTTCCGCAGCCCAGCTCTGTTTTGATGACCAATTTCTTGTCAAGGAAACCACTGTTCAAAATCCCGTGAGACCAGAATCAATACTTAGTAAGTCACTTACTTAGTATTTCAACATCGTAGTCTAAGACTTTTCGAGCTATTTCAATAATCAATTTCGCTTAAATTTGTATTTTTTAGTTTTTTCTAGCATAGATTTTAGTTAATGTACGTAATAATGGCGGCTTTGTAATATGAACTAAATTAGTAAAAGAAAAAAAAGCATTATTTAAAAAGTAAATAAAAAGTTATTTATATATTTTTCCTATTGATTCCGCATTTATATTTTGCAGGACATCTTGCAACGTAACTCAGGCACAAACAGAATTCTACATATCAGAAAATAACATTTTAACTGTACAATGGGACAATACTGTAGAAGGTGTTCTACTCATATACGAATACATTCATCAGTGTCCCAAAAGGACATTAGAAGAAGGTTCGAGTGGCCACTTCTGCAGTCCTGGATATCCGGATTTTTATTTTGGATGTAACAGTTCTTATTCCATTTATGTGCCTTTTGGATATTCTATCGAACTGAAATTGAGTGTCCTAGGCGCGATGGCAGGTGCCTTTTGTCAGAATAATACTCTCGAAGTGACAACGCCTAACACAAGTCAAAGTGAGAAATTACTTTTAGGATTGTGCCTAGACAAAGATGGTCAGAAGGATTTATTTACTCTACGTACTTCCAACAACCGAATTAACATCCGAACACGTACAACAGAAGACTTGCCACATAAAGGTTTCTGTGCCACATACAGAGCTATTCTAAGTGATCCATCAATTGCCGTTGATTGTCCTTACGGCTGGGTCTCCGGACGTAAGTTTTGTTACAAGGTCTACGAACAACCGCTTTCTTGGAGCGAGGCTGAAAGAGCTTGCAACATCAGAGGTGGGCATCTGGCAAGCATCACGGACAACAGAATAGCTCTGCTTATAGATGATGTGATCAAAAGCAGGTGACTTATGTTTTATTTTTCATTTTAAAATTAATGCAATGTATCTTAATCTACAATACATTTCGTTTTAATATTAATGGAATGCATGCCATAGATTTCGTATTTTTCAGTATTATAATTTGTTTCTCAGTTTTTAATTAATTCTGTAATAAGTCTGTCTTCTTAAGCCCGTATATTTCAAAAAAATAAAAATAAAATGTAAAGTACTTCATTTGCAAAATACTTCATACTGTTATTAAGAAATAAATAAAATATTATTTAATGGTAATTATCAAGCTAGAATTGAGAATAAAAATTGTGAAATCTAAAAAAGGACGATATTCACTATAAACGTTTCTTCACTTACACTAGAATATTACTTATGTTTGTTTATTTGTAATGCAATGCTTAAACTAATGTTTTTACATAAGAGTCCTCAATCGCTAATACATTTTAGAACAACTGCTGCGTTAATTTATAAGCATTTCTTTATGTATCACATACATTTGTTCCAGGTTTTCAATTTTGAAAATCTGATGCTTCAGTTTTTGGGTCTTTATTAGCTATTCAGTTCAAAAATCATATATTGGTACATAAGCATTTCCAACTTTTATTGTCTAAATAAATTTCAATAATATCATTTTTTGTAACAAACTGAAGACAGTTCAGTACTGTTAACGAAGTCCAGCACCGTAAAAAGAAATGTCCATTGTTAACGCCTTTCAATACTTTTAAAATACGGGAAGGAGTTTCAGGCTAATAAAGCAATTGGGAAAACAGATAAAATATCATTGAATACATTTACGCTTTTCACGTTCCAAATCAAACTACCAAAAATAAATGTTCCAATTTTTAATATATAAGGTATTTCTCCCGTCTTTTCAGCATGCATTCGTGGTGTAATGGCCAGCACACTCAGCGCGTATTCGAGAGGTCCAAAGTTCGAGTCTCGGTGAGGTCGTTGCTCATTTTCCATCTCTCCTGCTTCGAAATAACCTATTGACGCTACTGTGGCGCCCGAACTAAAAAAGGTGGTGGTTGATGATTCTCCACCGCCAGGATTTGGCGTTTGGGCCCCCTAATCCCCAGTCGCTCTTTAAAAGGTGGAGTATGTAAGTTATTTCTCCCGCCTTCTTAGCATGCCTTCGTGGTGTAATGGCCAGCAAGCTTGGCGTGTATTCGAGAGGTTCGAGTTCCAGCGAAAGCATTGCTCATTTTTCATGACTATTGCTTCAAAAAAAAAATCCTAGTGACTCTACAAATATTAAACGCTTTTGAATACTGATTATTCCGAAAGATGCAAATTAAAAGCGAAACTGCTCTTTTTAAAACAGGCAGTTTAAGAGAGTTTCTTTTGAATAATTTTTAACTGAAATTTATCAATAGATTGTTTCTAATTATTAAGCTCTGTTTATGTTAAGCATTTGCTTTCAAAATTGCGTGTGTTAACAATAAAATAAACTTTCCAGAGATCTGAATTCGAAAGTGCATTTGCTTGAGTATATTCTTGGGTGGACCAAGAACTTTTAAAATAGGTTTTGGTTGAAGTAAAATTTTGAATGAAGAGTTAATACAGTTATATATTTCAACGATTCTTTTTGATCTAACCGAACAGCAGGAATATTCAGTACTTAACAAAGACGTGTAGCAAACACTATTAAGATGCGCCTAACAGAGCGGCCGAGCGGTAAAACCGCTGAATGCAGGTAGTTCTGTCCGAGTTTCCAATCCCAGCAAACGTACTGGCTGCATGGGCGTTTACATAGTTTTCTCCATGTGTAACGTGTACAAGAGCCAGTTTCCCTTAGAAAGTACTCCACAAAGGCATCCCTCCTGTTAGGCAGATAACTCTCGAGTGCTTTGCCATAATTAAATAAACCAGCCACACCACGATCAAGATGCTTCAAAAGCTGCAGAGCAGTCATTGCAACAAAATTATTGTTCAAGGAAGCTAAATAATTAACCCTTTGCGGCACAGTGTGTCCGGTCTGAACACACTTAAAAATTTCCTTCCGTACGCACAGAAAAATTGAATGAAAAAGGATTTATAGGGTTACTCTGAACCTACTTTATTTATAGTAAATGGCAGTTCAACACAAACCAGTCCATATATTTTATGCATGTTTAGTTTTTTAAGACCCTCATTTTTCAAAATCTTCCAGATTTTTGTTAGGGTATAAAGGATTGTTTGAAAAGAATTTCTATGTTAATTTTTTGGCTGTATGCTAATCTCTTTATTCTATATCACTTTTAAATTTTTAACTTGAAATCTTGCCTAAAATCAAACGGCGAACCCTAGGTGTGCCGAGACCGGGCTCACCGATAATTTAGGACAACTGAGAGTCTGTATTCGTTTTTTCTAACATCAAACGGCGAACCCTAGGTGTGCCGAAACCGGGCTCACCGATAATCTAGGACAACTGAGAGTCTGTATTCGTTTTTCCTCCGCATCTCATTGGTCAGTTCATTGACAGCAATGCTCGTTTCAGCACTCTTTTCGAAGCTCTATTCAATCAGTGTGCCACTTTGGGCACACCCACAGAATTAAAACGATAAGTGCTATCTTCACAAAATTTTACTTGTTGCTCCTTTAGGCCTAATGAGACTGCCTTGTTTCTTAAAATGTCCTGAGCGAAACCATTTCTTTCTTTTAACTCAGAGCTTCACATGCGAAGAAAGTAATAACTAAAGTTTGCAGTCTATAAATTGTAATTTGGATTACGTTTGCGTTTTTCATTGTTACGAATTGTTGACTATCGTGTTCCTTATACATCATTTTCACTTACATATATATTCCAACAAATACCAAATAATTTTTCTCTCTAACTAATAATTAAAAAAATTAGTTCTGAAATCGTCCCATTTCAGTTCTCATACCTGTCCATGTCACATAGTACTCGCACTTTTATGAAGAACGTTATGTCTAAAATAAAAAGAATAATTCAGGTGGAAATAGGAAAGAAAGTTCTTTAAATCTGTGGCGTATCGATAACGATGCTTAAATAATTAAAATTCAAAAGAGATAATTACCAAACGTAGTAATTGATTTTTCATTCTAGTTTATAGGTTTCAGTTCCTGTTAAATTGCATTACTAGATAAGAAAAACAAATTATAAATAAATTGCACAGAAATGTCCCCAGAGTTATATAATAAAGCCTTCTAAATGAACCCACAAAAACACGTAATTATTTGATACCTAGGTCCATTTATTTTCGCATACATTGCGTATACAGGCTTGCTGATAAATTATAAAAGAGTAAAAGGATAGATCGAAAAATGATTCACAAACGTCGTCTGTGGTAGAAATTATCGAATTATTATATATCTCTAGATTTGATAATCTTTATTCTAGCTGTCAGATTAATCTTCGTTGACATAAAAAATTTCTCTTATGATGTAAAAGTTTTTTCCCCCTCACAACAGTATCTTGCTCACTTCTTGTTAGTTAATTAGATAAAAAATAGTTTACCCTTTAAATAATAAGAGTGATATATTTATCAGTATAAGCAAATATTAATGATAATTTGATAATCTTCTATAGCAACAAATGCGTTAATATAATATTTCCCACTTCAAATGCTGTTTATGTTCATTGATGTTTCTCAATCTTTTATGTCATCGATGCACATAAATTAAACATTTCTGGCTCTATGCATTACGAAACTCTACTATTAAATTTCTCAACTTTTAAAAATTTACATAGTCGACATTACCAATCCTTTAATATCAAATGTTCAACTATATTCCTTCTATGCAAACGTTTTATATATTCTTCAAGTCATATATTAATATACACGGAGGCGTACACATAAATATTGCTTAAAATGTGGCAAAATATAATATTTTTCCAATTATTGTTACATTTTCACATTAAAATATACCTTACAGTAAATTCTATTTATTTGCATAAAAAATCAAGTGTTCAGCATATTTATTTGCTTTAAAAATCATGTATTCTTGTTAAATCATTAACAGCTTCGCGCACTTTTTACTTCCTTTTTCTTCTTACCTTAAAGATAAAAGTCTCATTATTATAAGCAATTACCGGAATGTATTGCATTTTTATTCAACTGAATAATTGCTTTAGGTAACAGAATTTCAGTATGGTTGAAAAACATTGTATTGAATTCATTTCGAGCTCAAAGTATTTATTCAATTTCTTTGAAGGATGTTAAATGGGTTTTTAACTTCTGCACATCCGGCGTTAAGAATTAAACTCCTTTTTAATGTTAAATGAAAGAAACTTTTTCCAATCGAAATAAGAGAAAAAGAATCTATAAGAAGAGACATCCAGGCTTCCTTAATGAATTTATTTATTACTAATTGCACATCATTTGGCTAGTAAACCCTGAGGAGTTTCTTAGCTTCTAACAGCAATTTACGTCGTGTTTTTATAGAGCAAATCGGAAAGATAGGTAGCTGACATTTACGAAATTTATTTTCAGTGTTGGCTATTTATTTGGTTATAACTGAATTCAATATACGTTGACTTAATAATTCCTTATTTTCAAGTTTATTGAATTTTAAAAAACGATAAGAAAAAATCGTAATTTCAACTGTCATTAAAATGAGCTAAGTGAATAAATATTTTACAGTATTTTTTATATTTATGGAAAAAGTGTATTTTAAATTTGTGACATTATTAAATCTGAATTTATTGTATGATGCAAAAATGTAATCTTATTTTACAAAATTCATATATTATTTTATTTATTGCATTTCATTGTTTACAAGAGAATGTAAATTATAGAAGTATTGATAAAAGAAAATTAGAAAATCAGTTTGTTGCCATGCACTTAAGAAAAGTATTCCGTAATTACTTTTTTAAGCTGCGTTGCAACAAAGTTACAAAAAAAGGATAGATATAAATTCTGGTTACAACTGTATATGAGTTTTTTATTTCGATACAGGAATTCTCTACAATAATAAGTACTTTTTTACACTTTAAATTTCAATGCCAGGAGGGAATGTGTTGGGTCTAAAATTTAACCTTTCTCTATAAATTTGTATATATATATAT